CAACATTTTATTTAAATTTTAATTTTTAAATAAATATATTTAAAAAAAGAAAGAAAAATACAAGGTACGTAATTGAAATCTATTTATGTTACCAGGCATGCCCTGTGCCAGATCCAAAAAAGCTAAATATTCATTTAGTTCCTCATTCTCACGATGACGTCGGTTGGTTGAAAACAGTTGATCAGTATTTCTTTGGAAGTAAGTACACTTGAGAAGGTATTTTATCTGACATTTATTATTACAATACGATATACATGTTGGGCCACGTATAACAGGCCATTTAATTATGTTATCTAGCTATGGTAGCACGAGAAAATTTTTATACGTAACTTAAACGGCTTCACATAGTGAATAAGATGGAAGAAAAAGTTTTTCGGTAGAAGAAATGGTAAAAAATTAGATCATATTATTATGCATTTAACATTTATTTTGTTCATAACTAGTAGTTTAATCCTATTTTCAATAGGGTCAAGCATGTAACATATTTAATACTTCAACTAGCCCATATTTAGACCTTCTCCTCTAATAGAAAAACAATTGAAGAAAAATCATGTAGCGACCCTCTTACGCTCTGCCACCAAAGGGACGGACTAACCACAAGTTCTCGCTAGTCCTCGTAAAGGCTCCTGTTTCTATATGTATATCCGACAGCGCGTTTGTAACATTGTGCTTTTTTTCGCGAATTGCGCGCGCGACACAAAGTTGCAAAAGAGAGATCGCCCCTGCAACTTTGTTGCCGCAAATCGTCCTCGAAAAAAAAAAATGCACAAAGTTGCAAAACAGCGCGCCGTAGCTAAAGAAGATAACGAAGTGTCCTGTTCTACGTGGCCCAGTCTTGCATGTTAAATCTCACGTTAAATGTCTACTTTTCTTTTTAATAAAGGTCGCCCAGCTATTCAGAAGGCAGGGGTGCAGTATATTTTAGACAGCGTTATTCAGGCGTTACTCGCTGATCCTGAAAGAAAGTAATTACAGCATTCTGTTCTACTCTTAGTACAAATGCACCAGTTGAAACAGTGTTTTCGATAATAACGAAAATTTAGACATTGAGAAAAGTCAATTAGAGTCAGATACGTTGAGAAACATGTCAATTGTAAAGTACAATATCAACGTAAACTCTAATCACTTTTATTAAGCAATCGTTATATTTAAACTGTAAAAATGTAGAGAGCTTGATTTTCTTATTTTTCCTAACTCGTTAAATGCAATAATTCAATTAAAACGTAATTTTATTTCATTACAGTTACGAAATATATCCGTTTTTTCTCTCTCTCTTTAATGAAAATATACCGAGTTTGCCTTGAGAAAGTTTGGTCAGTTTACGTATAATTTTGATATTACGCATTTACACTCACGTTCGTAAGTTATTTACGATAAATCAAGTTTAGATGAAAGATTTAGTTACTTATTTCGATGCGAATCGTTCTATTGATAACAATTATATTTAAGGAATTTTTATAATTAATACAAGAAAAAAACTGAAATATTTATAACGAGGTTCAGCACCAGAAATTGTGGAATGAACTACTCTTCGTTCAAAATAAGAATAACCTCGTTTCGCGCATAGGACGTGCCTAAGGCAGGGCTAGAACGTCCAAACCCCCACTTAATCGCCTACGTTTTTCTCCGTCTTACCCTCTGCTACGCTCTCTATCTATGCGTAGAACGGACGAAAATCGGTCCGAGAGCGAGGTTATTCTTATTTTGAACGAACAGTAGACAGAAGTATTCGGAAACACTGTCCAACGTCACAAAAAGATCTGTGGGCGCATTTGCAGCAAAACGAAAAGCGTACATTGAACGAGAAAATTGAAACCTTCGTATGTACAATTTTCAATATATTCAAACATTAGAAAACTAATAGATTTATATCTATTTTATCAGATTCATCTACGTGGAAACTGCCTTCTTATGGAAATGGTGGATACGTCAAAGCGATAAGATGCAACAAGATGTGCGCAATCTGATCAACGAAGGCAGATTAGAAATTATCGGTGGTGGATGGAGTATGAATGATGAAGCAGTTACCCACTATCATTCTCTTGTAGATCAATACACTTGGGGTTTTAGGTGAGAAGAAGAGATTCCGTTAGAGAATGAATGTCATTAATCTGATTTAAATGAAAAGGAAAAATCGTATTTCATATATCGAATGTGCATTATTGTATCTATCTCGTTATACGCGTGTCTTCCTTTTTAAATATTTCGCGTTGACAATGTGTACGTGTAATTATGCATGTTGCAAAGAGATTGTTGCACACTTTCGATGTTTTAAAAATCTTGCACTTTAATCTTCTATGGTCAAAATTATCGTTTTGTATTTTTATCAAAATCGCTAACTCCTTTTCTGAAATTAACGACGCGTGGACTTTGAACGAACACTAATTGATTGTAAGATAAAATATTGTTACAAAGGCAGTGAGAATATTCGAAATATCGTATCGCGTCGCACTGATTAGCAAAGTTCTAATTATCCAAGTATTACATATGTATGTCAGTCTGTAAAATCTTCTGTGATAGTTTATCTAATTTGTAAATTATCTTCAAGTGATTATTCATTCATTATTATATTTTTCCTTTTTTTAATTTTCTAGACGCCTCAATGACACCTTCGGAAGTTGTGCAAGACCGCATATAGGATGGCAAATAGATCCTTTTGGTCATTCCAGAGAACAGGCATCTATGTTCGCGCAATTAGGATTTGACGGAATGTTTTTCGGTCGACTCGATTATCAAGACAAGGCAGCAAGAATGAAGAACAGTAATATGGAATTTCTTTGGAAAGGAAGCTCAAGTCTCGGTAAAGATCGAAACCAAGAAACGTATAGTGAAGAGACGAGAAGTTGGCTAGGGGAAGGAATACGGGTCTGATTTGATTATAGCGCGATAGACCCACCTTCTCTTAGATAATCGTAAAAATAGGGCGCGTGTATTTTTGTTATAGACCGAAACGGTCACGTCTACAAATCGGATAATGTATTGGATGATTGCAAAAGTTCGCACCTAATTTGAAAATAAAACGGTGTGTGCAAAAGCACATTTCACTTGAAACTAAAATGAAACGAAACGAATAATTATTTGAAAATAAAACACAAGCGGTGTATCTTTCGATAGGAATGTAACATGACGCTGCAACAAACATCTGTGCCGAAGTCGATAAGGTTCCCGCCACCTCTGAAAATCGGGCAGGAATTTTTGCAATCGTCCAATAACATCACGTGACTAAAGGAGCGAACGGGACATATCAAGATCTATCTGACGAATATGAAAACAATAGCGTACCCACGGTTTCGTGTATCCGCGGGAAGGTTTTGGAACGTATCCACTTGCGGATACAAAAATACGAACCTCGGTAACTCGAATCTCAAGGGAAGAGAGCTAAAATCTTCGAATTACAGAGGTTTCGACTTATCGGAATTTTTGAGTAAAAGAGATTCAACAAACGAAAATTCGACATGCAGAAGCTTTGTACGAAGATTAACATGTTAACTGCCACGCCGGTCCCTAGGGACCGACAATTAGTGTCGCCGCTTAACCCTTTCGATACGGCTTCATTTTTGGCCACTATGCCTCCGTTGAACGGACAGTTTTATCACGAATACGCTACCGCTGAACCGAACAAGGAGCGTAGCAGTTAAATTTTGCCGTACAATATAATGAATTGGCGGAAAGAAATCATACTTTAACACGTTTTATAGTAATAACACTTTATAAAATTGCTTAATAATATAATTCTGCATGGAAGATTTCAAAACAGCGAGCGTTCAACGATGGATGACTATAGTCGCCGTTTGTTCACAACGAGCGTCCAACGATGGACGACTATAGTCATCGTTAGTATCGAAAGAGTTAATGCTTTAATTTACGACTTCACTATATCGCTTCCACCTACTACACCCCTGTTACCTGTATGCCATCCAGCTAAACATCTTCTCATCTCGATTAACGTAATCATTGAAAGAAAGAAATTAAATGGCATTTTGTTACAGGTTCCCGTGCAGATTTGTTCACGGTTGCATTGTATAACACTTACAGTCCGCCACCTGGCTTCTGTTACGATATGCTGTGCAACGATGAACCAATAAACGATGATCCCGAGAGTCCAGACTATAGTGTCACGAACAAGGTGTGTATTATTTATAGTTCACTTTCGAATTATATTTTGCAAACGTAATATTCAGATTCAGCAAGTGTATTGCGTTATTGGTAGGTCAAACAATTGGTAGAATATGCACATCGTCAAGCAGCAGCTTACCAGACTAATAACGTTATATTTACAATGGGCGAAGACTTTAATTACCAACAAGCCGAAATGTGGTTCACTAACTTGGATAGGTTGATCAGGTAAAGTATAGCTAATTAATAACGGTTGTTTGAATGTTTAGTTTATAAACATTTGTCTATGAAATATTTCATCGCCTTATATCGTTTTTACATCTTTCGATGCCCGTTGCTTGTTTCTCCATCAACTGATGTTGATGAAATTTTCATTACGAGCTCAGATAAAAAAGTTGTAAACAGTGACCTTTACAATTTTTTTCTTGATTTCCACAGATTGCAATGTTTTCAAAATTTTGTATACACGTCATATAGTATAGTAATCTTTCTAACTGTTAAAAAAAACTCAAGTTGTTAGGTCCAATTTTAAAAAAGTTATAAAGAGTGTCTGAATATTAGTGAGAGTCACTGTACATGATAACGAAATGCAGATATATATAGATACACTTATGTAGATATTAATTAACGATAAAACTGATATTATGAATTGCTTATTGATATGGATAATATAACACAAGTGTATTTTATATTCCTTTATTCAAAGTATATCTTAAATAGATTTTTTTGTTTTTGGTAATCTGTACATGTACAATCCATCATACAATAATAATCAGCACTGATTGTGATAGCTTATATTGATCTGAGAGTGATATAGATATCAATTTCCTGTATTTTCTATTTTAACTCTTTCTTAATTGTTGTATCTACATTGCAGTGGAAAACAATAATTTTATTGGAAATATCAAATTTCAGTACTCAAACGTTTTGATACTTATTCGTCGAAGTAAACTTTACCTTGAATCAAATCGTCCAAATGGCTCTTATGCCTCGTAAGAATACGAAACGCAATGATATCCAGCTATAATATTTAATTCATTTTATTCCTTTCCCTGACGAACTTAGCATATGTTAAAATTTTGATGTTATCAGATTCTCAGATATTGGTAATAATATTTCATTCTTATAACATTTTACTAATTAAGTATTTAACACTTGACAGATACGTGAGAGAGAAGAAAGGTAATGAGGTGAATATATTTTATTCGACGCCATCGTGCTACCTGAAAGCACTACACGATCTAGAACTTGAGTGGGTAACGAAAGAAGATGACTTCTTCCCCTATGCGAGTGATCCACATTCATTTTGGACTGGCTACTTTTCTTCCAGACCAACGATCAAATTCTACGAAAGAATGGGAAACAACATTTTACAAGTAAAGAACTTATTAAAAATTTATACTTGTCAGGATTTCGTAAGTTTATATAATTAAGTAAAAACAATATACTATTGTTAGGCGATGGCGCACCTCTTCGTTAGATATTATTTACAAAACGACACAATTTATTTATTCAACAATAATTTTATACAATACAGAACGGTGATGGATCGAGAACGCTTAGAATGTTTTTGGTACACTATTTAAAATTTTACTAAAGCCGAAGTATTATAAAACGGAGGCACTATTTAAATATTGCAAGGAATAGAAGTTTAATAATTTGAAAGTGTCGAAAAACATCAGCAGACAATCTTTAACACGTTCAGAATGACAGCGAAATTTACGAAACGCTCGCTGCTGTCGGTGTTTGTTATAACCGGATGGTTTGATTTTACCGAAGTGTGTTTATTATTGATATTTAATTTTTTTGTTTCTAATCTTTTCACCTGCTAAATATATATGCTTTTTCATAGAATATTGTAAAATAATGTGGTGACCCATAGGTGGGTCACGCCGTCTATTCAATCTTTTTTATCATCCATGTTGGAATAACCCTTGAGTGGGTCATGTCGACAAATAAGAGCTTTACTCGATGACCCACCGGTGGGTCACATCGTCCTGAACGAGTTAATGTTAGAACAAGTGTATAAATATGATTTTTTCGATATAATTTTAGATAAGCAAGCAATTGTCAGTATTGGCTCATTTGAAAGGTCACGAGAAACAATTGGAACATTTTCGAGAAGCAATGGGCGTAATGCAACATCACGATGCAGTTACTGGAACCGAGAAACAATTAGTTGCAGAAGATTACGCGCGCATACTAAATAGTGCCATTGAACAAGGACTAAACATTATTTCTGAAGCTATGAGGTACTATACATTTATTTTCGATAACAATTTATGAAAATAATCTGTATCTTGTTTGTTTTCCGATAAGAAACATATGTCAAAGAACATATTAAATAATAGTATCTATATGTAAGAAAAATCACAGAAACTAACAAAATTTGTAGTAATATTAAATGCATTTAACGGATACACGCAATTTTAAACGTCAATAAAATTATTATAAAATGTTCAATTCTATAATTTCGATTTATTTTACAGTGATTGGAGAACGAATGGACAACTAAAAGGGGATATGTACGCCTGTATGGAATTGAATATTAGTTCCTGTTCATACACAGAAGATCAGGATACCGAACTTACGATTTACAATCCTTTAAGTCAAAAAGTTGACTCTAACATTCGCGTTCCTGTGCAAATAGGCTCGTACAATGTTGTAGATCTTACAGGTATGTATCCTGCAATAATTATTTTAATACTACGTTGAGGTAAATTATTAGAATGGACTAAAAGTTTATTGAAATTTATACATTTCCGAGGTTTGAGTGCCCGGATGTTTACCGTAAAGAAATATTTAACATAGTACCAGGGAAATGATGAGAGATGGTAATGGATTAAAAAGAAAGAAAGAAAAAGTGTTCGATGTTCATTATGTCTTCTGAGTGGGCAATTGACATCTGGTTAAATTGTAAAAGTGATAATGCACCTTTCCAGTGCTGACAAATATAAGTATCACGAGAAGATTAAGATTATTACTTCGCGTTCGAAAAATTTTTAAATTGAATTTCTTCGAAAAATAAATATTGTCAGTCGTATGGTAATATATTCAACATAGTATCAAGGAAGTAAAATATTGAAGAGCATGTTAATCTTACTATTAAGACATCAACGATAAATGAGAGATTTATCTGTTGTTCAAGGAAAAATGAATCAATAGTATAAACAATTGAAAAAAATAATATTCAGAACTTTAATTAACAGTTCATTTCTTTTGTGAAACATAAGAGAATATTAACTTTTATTTAACTTTTTTCAAGATGACGTTACCGTTACTTCCCACCTGGTGCCTGTTCCTAATTCTGTACAGAAAATACCGGGAAGAAACAGCAGCGCAATGTACGAGCTTCTATTTATCGCAACGCTGCCACCATTAGGTTACAGAAGCTTTAAAGTTACAAAGAACTCAGAAATTACGTATCCAGTTGTCACCACTTCAAAAGCATATTCTATTAGTAACGAGGTACCGACTTATCAAAATCACCATTGGTCTATATCCAGATAGCACACAGCCGTCTTGTGAATATCTTAAATACGTTGTGTAAAAGCCTAAAGATGTCGAAACGAAGTCTGAACGATGTCCAATATTACAAATCAAGATGTCTCTGAAACTTGGCGCTGCCAAGTATTATGCGCTGGCTTTAGAAATGTCTTAAAAACGACTTAATACGTCATGTTTATGAGTTCTTATTAGTTTGGCAACTAAGTTCGCAACCTTCACACTTTCTTCAACAAAATTATTTATTAAAATTATACAATTAACAATTTTTAATTGAAATATGCCCCATTTGATTCAACAATCTTTTGCCATATTTCGGACAATTTTTCAATTCCTCAGCGGTAGAAGTTGGTCATTTTTACTTCAAAATATATGGACAGGTGCGTTTTAACGCCCTCAAATTTTAAAAAACGTTTTTCAGCCAATGAATGCTGTAGCGACCTGAACAAGTGATAATCACTGGCAGCAACGTTTGGGCTATGTGGTGAATGAATTAGACGTTCCCAGCCCAATTCGTCAATTTTCTGCAGCATTCGCCGTGCAATATGTGGACGAGCGTTGTCCTGCTACAGAATAATCCCTTTTCGTAAGAGTTGACGAAACGAATTTTTTCTAAACTTTACCTAAATACGATCAAGTCAATGATCTGCATCAATGATACGATCATTTTCGACCAGCTACCAGTGAATAATACCCCCAATTCACCATCAAACGCACACAACAGAAGGTTGCGAATTTAGTTGCGAAACTAATAGGACGTAGACCTCGCTATATCACTTCCATCGACTCGTACGTCTTCAAAATGTCTAGATCAGGTCATAAGACGTTCAGACAGAAAAAGACAAAATGTACATCTCTAAGATGTCATGTGCTATCTGGGCACATAACGGTTGACATTTAAATTTTTATTGTTTAATAAATGTAATTACGTTGAGGTAGTTAAGTGAAAGAAATTGTATTTAAAGATGTTGAACTTTAGAAAATTATCTGTAAAAAAAGATAAGAAAAGGAAATGAATTTTATTTTCAGTTTTATGATGTATCAATCAACGCGAATGGTAATGCTGTTGTAGAATGGAAAAGAGAACAAAATATGAGTTTGACTCAATCATTCCACTATTATGAAGGAATGCAGGGAAATAATCGGGAATTTGAAAATAGATCATCGGGTGCATACATCTTCAGACCTAAAAGCCCATTAGCTAAGAATTTTATAAAACCTGGATCTTATAAAATTTACAAAGGTAACACTTGTGTAAGGGATATTTGAAAAAATCTTATTCTTCGTAAATTCGATGTAGAATTCGATTCACTTCCGTTACAGGTCCAGTAGTGGAAGAAATCCATCAATATATCAACGATTGGGTATCTCAGGTAATTCGAGTTTATAAAGGAAAAGAGTATGTTGAATTCGATTGGCTCGTTGGACCAATACCCGTTAAGTAAGTATATTAAACATATCTAATGTCTATTATTTTTAAACAAAATACCAAATCGAAAAAAATATCTGCATACGTTTTTGTCTCCTGCTACCACACAGTTTGAGTTAGAACAATGTATCAAACATTTTCATCATCTACATACCAATTACTAAAGAAGTACACAGGATTTAAAAAAAAAAATTGTTTTATATAAAT